TAGTGTTGTCAGTCCTCCCTGGCCTCCAGCAGGGGTTTGGGAGGTAGGGTTGCCAGATCCAGGTTAAGAAACTTGGGGATGGAGTCTGGGAAGGGCAGGGACCTCAGTGGGGTATAATGCCATAGAGTCCATCCTCTAAAGCATCCATTTTCTGCAGGCGATCTCTGTAGTCTGGAGATGAGTTGTAATTCCAGAGGATCCCCAGGTCCCACCTGGAGACTGGCATCCCTTCCTGGGAGGAGGTGGTGCCCAGCACAAAACAGCAACTGCTGGTTTGTGCTGGGCTGGGTGCTAGTGGCACCCTCTGCCAGCTTTTTTCCAAACTAACCAGCCCATTTCCAGGATCAGAGGTTGGTTGAGGAAAAAAAGATCTGGAAGGCAGACTATGGGAATGTGTGCTGTAGCTAAGGAGCAGGTTCTGTGCTTCTCACCAAAGCATCCCTTTTGGTGTTTCAGCCAGTTTGGTGTAGTGGTTAAGAGTGCGGACTCTAATCTGGGAGAACTGGGTTTGATTCCCCACTCCTTCCAATTCAGCCTTGGCATCTAGTCATGCTGGCCACGTGACCACGGAAACGTCTTCAGACAGTGCTGGCTCTTCGGCTTGGAAACAGAGACGAGCATTGCCCCCTAGAGTTGGATTTGACTGGCTTTCGAGTAAGGGAAACCATTACCTTTACCTTTATTCCTGGGGTCATCACTACAACCTCTCCTATACTTCCAACACTTTTGTCATAGGTTGAACAGAATTTCAAGAATTTATTGAAATGTTTAGTAGTAGTTTTATGTGGTACCAATAACTAGAAAAAAAAACCATAAACACAAAATGTGGGAATATGAGAGACTCCCATGAAGGCAAGCCCAGGAGAATCTCAAGTTCTCACCGGGTAGATTGGCAAAATGCACAAAGGTCTTTTTGAATCTGCATGAGTTTGCTAAATTACTCTGAGAGCACAATGACTTACTGTAAGCACAAGCTTTGCAACATTCAAAGATAATCTTGGCTGTGAGAAGAACATAGTGTGGTTTTTAGTTAGAAGCTTCTAAGAGTAACGATTTCACTGTACAATGGGGAGCTTGGATTTTTCTTCTGAATAAAGCATTGCTGACAGCCTGTCAGAAGGACAGTTTTGGTACAGAGAGACAGGGAGACAGAGCTGATCAGTAGCTTCAAGAACTCTCTGTTGTGGTGTGTCGTTATTGAACTTTCTCAAAGTCTACAAGAAAACCCTGCAGCCTGAAAAAATGAGTTGACTATCTAATTGTCCAGGACTGACTTACACAGCAAAAGGAAATTTGTTAAGGCCTGTTGTAAAAAAAAACCAAAACCCATTACCAAGGGAAGCCAGTTCAGTGAATGACCTGCCCACTGTCCTGTTGTAGTGATTAGTGTTGGACTAAGATCTGAGAGGACCACCCAAGCTTAGATTCCTGTTTTTGCCATGGAAGTTTGCTGGGTGACCTTGGGTCAATCACACACTCTCAGCCTAGCCTACCTCACAGGGTTGTTTTGGAGATAAGATGGAGGAGAACAATGTAAGCCATTTTGGGTCCCCCAGTGGGGAGAAAGTTGGGGAGTAAATGAAACAAACAAGCAGACAAGCAAACCATGTAATGACGGCACCAACTGGAGGATCCTGCATTTCCCTTGCTTCACCCTCCAACGCTTTGATGTTTATTTATTTATTTATTGTATTTATAACCCACCTTCCCCACAAGCGGGCTCAGGGCGGCTCACGTTGCCTGGCACAATGTGCCAAGATTCATATACAGTTAAAACATTTAAAACTTAACATTTAACACTGTTAAAACATTTAAAACATTTAAACAATCGACGATTGCCGAATAAAGTGCACTCAGTGATTAGTAACCAAGATGGCGCGACATGTCATGCAGGCTCAGGCAATTACAGGCTCCTAGGCGGTTTGGCTCGATCTCACTGCAGCCAGCCTCCACCACAGATATTAATAGTGGTCATTGATGGTAATGTGGATGGCTCCTAATTGGCCTGGTGGAACAGCTCTGTCTTGCAGGCCCTGCGCCGGAACTGCACAAGATCCCGCAGGGTCCTGATCTCCTCCGGGAGCTCATTCCACCAGTAAGGAGCCGCCACTGAGAAGGCCTTGGCTCTAGTAGCTGCGAGCCTTGCTTCCCTGAGGCCTGGAATAACCAGCCGATGTTGCGCCCCCGACCGTAGTGCTCTCTGGGGTATATATGGGGAAAGGCGGTCCCTCAGGTATGTTGGACCCTGGCCATATAGGGCTTTAAAGGTAAGTACCAGCACCTTGAAGCGAATTCGGTATGCTATTGGCAGCCAGTGCAGCACCTTCAGCACCGGCTGGATGTGCTCCCATCTAGGGAGACACATCAGTAGCCTGGCTGCGGTTCTGCACTAGCTGCAGCCTCTGGATTTGCGCCAAGGGCAGCCCCATGTAGAGAGCGTTACAATAGTCTAGCCTTGAGGTGACCATCGCGTGGATCACTGTAGCCAGGTTGTCGCAATCGAGGAAGGGAGCCAACTGCTGAGCCAGCCGCAGGTGGTAGAAGGCCGACTTAGCAGTGGCTGCTACCTGGGCCTCCACTGCCAGGGAGGGTTCCAGGAGCACTCCCAAACTCCTAACCACCAGCGCAGGCACCAATGGCGCCCCATCAAAGGCCGAGAGCGGGAGCCCCAACCCCGAACTGCCCCGACTCAGGCACAGGAATTTGCCGGGTTTATTTTCAGCCGACTCAGCCTGAGCCAACCAGCCAGGGCGTGCAATGCCCGGTCCTCTCATGTTTGAGTAGTCACATTGTGTGCCTGTGTGCCGGGGTCATTCAGTAGGAAAAGAGCTGCAGGAGCTTATTAGCATAACTTATTAGCATATGCCACACCCCCTGACATCACCGGAAGTGTGCAACAGTCCCTCTGACAGGCAGAAGCACCTGGGATCCATTCTTTCTTCTCCCCAAGATACCCGCCATGTTTCAGGAACATTGAACCAGGGGGTCCAATTCGATGGGCCCCCAAACAGGTTGCCCCCATCCCCTCCATTGTTCTCTATCGTGGGGCAAAAGTTACTTTTTCCCCAACATAGAGAACAATGGAGGGGATAGGGGCAACCTGTTTGGGGGCCTGTAGAATTGGACCCCCCTGGTCTAATGTTCTTCAAACTTGGTTGGTATCTTGGGGAGAGGCTCCAGCAGCTACCCTGTGAGTTTGGAGCCTCTCCCTCAAACTCCCTTTCCTCCAACCCCCAGAATATATCCTATGTTTTTGCCATTGACTTCAATGGCCCATAGGATATAATGGGGCCGAAATTTATATTCGGCTGCCCCTT